ATAGGACTAGACGCATTCCATTAGTTACTGACTAGTGTTCAATCAAAAACCAACGGGTATTGCTTTTCAACATATAGATTAGACAACAATCCCATTCGGTCAATTAATCATGATATTACTGAAACTGTTACTCAGCTTGCATCACTCTCTTCCCATTTTCAAGCTTTTTGCGCATTCAATTTAATCAATACTTGTGAAAAAGCGACGCTGTTAACTCTTGATCTGTTTCTTCATTAGCGATTTTTATGACTTTTCTTAACGCTTGGATACTTGTATTAGGAGCATGATTCTACTTCTAGTGACAAATATGTTCTAGTGTCAAAATAAGTAAACGTACCTACAAACGAATTGGTGAATCTAACGAAGAGCTCTAGGAAACTTATTTCGACACTAGAATATCAATTCATTGCTAACTAATGACTAAATTTCTCGTGAAGCCCCGTGAAATCCGACTTGAAATCATGGTTGGTGCGACCCAGAAAGTCGAATGTGAGGACGGCTGCACAGGGATAACACTGAGTGGTGGTCACCTGAGTGTTTTTTATTCCTTTACGTTCCCAGGGGAACATAGGGCTTCAAGCTAGAGATTTGAACTTTCGGTAGCAGTAGTGTTTGTTTTGCGGGATGGGGTTGCTAGCCTCATGTCCAACCTTCCCTCTTATTACTGGCTTAGAGAGGTAAGGGAGTGCGTCTGCCGGGGATCGAACACCGGACCACATGCGTGATCGGCGAGCATTCTTCCGCTTTGCCACCAACGCACACAACCTGAATGTCCAGAGTTTGATTCACTGGGAGGACATAATAAATATTTACCTATGAAGATTACCGGCATAGGATAAAAAATTTGTTTAGTGCCCCGTAGTCTTCAATAATCTTCTGATTGGGTTTGATTCATAACAGAACTCATTTCAGAATAAATCAAATTCTAATAAAATTAACAAACAATCTTCTTGTCCTATGTCTTGACCTTTGTCATAAAAATCATACTAATTTTTCAACAAAGGATGAAAGTTGTAGAAATTATCTTCAAGTAACTTGAAATTATAATAAAAGCATGTGAGTATAAATACTCAAGCGTAAGATATGAAGGTGAACAGTTTCTTAGGTGGAAGACAAGAATACGGTTGGGTTAGATTATTTTTTCCATAGTTGAACTTCGTCTATATTTATATATATATCTTGAGTGGACACTAGTAACAGGTGTGATGCGTCTAGTGTAGTCGATGTATCCAATACATTCCTACAGGAGGTCAATTATGAGCCCAAATAGTTCAATGGTAACGTTTCTGACTGCAGCACTGGGTGACCCGGGTTCGAATCTCAGAGGGGACATGAGTTCCTTCGAGGTTGCAGAGACGCCTTGCTGACTGGTGAGTGCTAGCAAGTACATAACCTAGGTGTAGGGCTTTTCTGCCGATTGGCAGCAGTAAGAGTTAAGACAAAATGTACAACCTTATCAATGTTTCACAAGTAAATGTAAGACGAATTAATGTAATGTTCATCTGAAGAACTGAAATGAATTATTCATATCTTGTTATTCTACTTGAACACTTGCATTAAGTGGTAAAATGATAATAGCCAACTAATTGAAGATATGGAGTACGCTGAACTCGTTTTGCTTTTCACACATTCACATAACTTGCGATGTCAGTCACACATAAGATTTCATGACTGGAAGCAGGTATAATGCGCAGAAGTCCAATCCACATCATTTTACAGCTTTAGTACATTACTGTTGAACAGGAAAAATATCACAAGTTCGATGATATTCAATCAGACTTCTCTTCCAGTTAACAATGAAAATACGGAATGATGGACATATTCATCGACCGGTTTTACAAAGCAGCTGAGAAGGTCTAAATTTTGCTGTAATTAATTACTGAACAAAACGAAGGTGCGTCAAGTGTTGGTTTGCAGGGATTTGATTGGTTGGAGGATTTCATCATGAGCTGACATCCGTTAGAGAACCATTGGAAAGCATGAGAGTACTGGACAGCTGTGACATCCTAGTTTGGGGCTGTTCAGCAGCACACTTGAATATCAATCTGATGTTCACTAGCGACTAGCCCTATTCAGGTAGGTAGTCACCTGGGTTCTAGTGACCAGTGGGTATAGAGAGTTGGTTGTGAGTACAAATACTCGACGATAATATTGGCAGGTGTCAGTCGAGCCATATCGTCAATTGGCGGAAGTTGGTATCTATGGGTCATTGGATCGGGTCTCAGTGGCTTAATGGTCTACGAACTCGCCTTGTAAGCAGAAGGTTCTGGGTTCGAACCCTGGCGGTGGGTGCGTGCTGATGAAGAGTCCCAAATCAGGACGAGAAAGGCTGTCCAGTACTCCCAGATTTTCCAATAATTCTCTAACCAATGTCAGCTGATGATGAAATCCTGAAAGATGTATCAGTTGTACACGCCAATTACCATGCTCGGAGTTAAACTCCATATTTAGTTATCTAACTAACTGATTAAGTGATATTCGAGGTCAGCGGCCATTGCTTCACTCCTATTAACTTGTACTTTCTGGTCTACGTGTATTTAGACCTTTATTCGTAAAGTTTGATGCCACTGATCCTGATCAAGTGACTTTCTCCACGAAATTGAGTTATCTATAAATTATTCTTATGATTACAAATTTACTAAGAATATCGTTTAGTCAGTTTGAATACTTTACAAGTGAACTACAATGACTTATAAACATCAATTTTCTGACGTTTATTTTATACATTTTTACATTCAGTAGTGGAAAACGAAGAGAGAAAACTGCAAGCACTGGTCAATACTGTTGTGGTGAGAGCTGGCTTCGAACAAGCCAAAACTGTAAACAACAATTTACGTCAATGTTACGTCCCCAATCAGAGTCATGAGAAAAACGATTCCAGTTACAGCGGTAGGTGATCTATGGTCCGTTGATGTGATGGGTACATTTCCTCATACATGAAGTGATGGTGATGACGGAACACGCGACACGATGGATGGACAGACGTCGTTGCGATCCCAGACAAACGCGAAAGGACTGTGACAGATGCAGTAGTTTGACACATCCTTGCAGACCACGGCGTACCAAAGACGATACTGATAGACCAAGATCCCTGTTTTGGAAGTGAAGAACTTACGTCCTGTTTGCAAAATCTGGGCATCAAGAGGATCAGAACGACCCCATGTCATCCACAAACGAATGGCTTGTAGGGACAGAAACAACCGTACACTGAAGGAGTGGCTGTCGTCGAAGGGCGATGACTGGGAGACGGAACTTCCTCTGATTCTACTAGCACATCAAGCTACCACCCGGGAAACAACGAAGAAGTCACCTTTTCAACTGATGTATGGTAGAAAACCACTATTACCGATACACAACAAGACCTGGCCTATCCACCAAAAGTGGAGCATGACGAAATTGAGAGCAGAACGGAAAGAAGCAGTCAAGAATGTAATGCAGAATTAGCAGAGGGATGCCGCGAAGTCTGAGAAGAGAGAAAAGACACAGTGCATTACCTTTGAGGTTGGAGATCAATTGAAATAGAGAGACAGAAAGTATGCAGGCCAGGTTCACGAAAACTCCTTCCAAAGTGGGAAGGACTATACGCAGTCACCAAAAGATGCGGTCAAGTACATACCATCAGAAGGGGTGACAAACAGAAACAAGCTAAAGCCAGTCAGATCCAACGATGGATACAGTGGTACAAGCCATCCCATAACAATCACCAACGAGAGGATATATCGCCCAGAAGGTCGGAACGCCTGCGAGCAAAGCTATTTGACGAGAGGCAAGTGTAGTGAGGGCTGGCTGCGAACAAGCCAAAATTGTAGACAGCAATTTACATCAGTGCTATGTCCCAAATCAGGGGGATGAGAAAAACAATAACAAAGCTCAACCTTGTGGAACTCGCCAACTAATCATTACGGACTTAACTAGTGCAAATATGATTCACGATATATGGCTTAATTTTCTGAGAAACGGTCACAAAATAATACAGTATGACCTTAAGCAAGAAAACAACCAATCAGGAGACGTTTCTTCTCCGCTGACAATAATACGCATAAAAATCTATAAATACCAGTTGATTTTCAAAATAAACAATCCGTTGCCTAGCCTTTGTCTTCTGTCATTACACTATTTAAGTATAATCTTTTCACCGCGTATTGATAGAATTGCATAGATAATTAGGTTGTATCGATCAATACAATAAGCGTTGAATAATTATTACTACCAAATTTCAGTACTGTATATATATATATATATATATATACTGTACTTTGAAGAATAAAGGTTATTGTTGTCGTGGTTTTTGCAGTTATATCTGACTTCTGTGTCTACCTCAGTATGGGGGAATATTTTTCAAGTGAACAGTTAGTTAGTGTCTGGAGGTGCACACTCTAGTAAAAATAGACAACAACCAAAAAATCTGTAACACTCTGTTATAACATATGCCTAACGTGAACTACTTCCATTTTACTTTGAGCTGGTAGTAAGCACCAAAGGATACAATTACTCCTGTAATACATGAGTTTTACCTATGAAATCAGTACTATAATATCATCCTTCAACCTAACCCAATCTTGAATGATGTCCACCAACAACAGACAACAATCAGCATTAAATGGGAGAAATCTGAAAGAAGTAACCTCCTTCACCTACCTACCGACCTGGTAAGCATCGTTTCAACTACAGGCCGACGGAACTGATGAAGATATCAAAGCGAGGACTGGGAAAGCAAGGCAAGCAAACTTTCATTTCTCTCAAGTCTGTGTAGAGATCAAAAGCACACTCAGCATGAAAAATAAGATCCGGATTTTCAACTCCAATGTGAAGTCAGTGCTACTTATTATACGGATCAGAGACTTGACACCGCGTCACGAAGGGCACTTCATCAACAGCTGTCTTCGCTCAATACCACTCAAGATCAGATGGCTGGCCAGAAATGATCAGCGAACAGAAAGCAATGGAGACGTGTGGCTGAAGCCCTATGTTCCTCTAGCTACTAAAGAAAACAATAATAATAATAAAAATAATAATAATAAAATAGATGAACATTCTTACAGAGAAAATAACCATAAAAGGATGATACATAATAACAATAAGAAATCAGAGATGAATTTGTTGACCTTAAACACTCAAAACATTTATTATTGAATAAAATTAACTGGATCTGGATTAAATAAGATTCATCGATTTTATTTCTGGAACATAACGATAAACATAGAAACATGCTAATAGACAGAATGATGAAAATATACAGAAAAGTGATGATACATTTATCCATGAAACAAATGGTTCAAATAAAAATATCACGAAAAAGCCAACTATCCAACTAACAGCTAAAGATGAGACAATAGCATAATTTCTATTGACACTTGGAAATAGTTCTATGATGAATAAAAATGGTAATGGACCCCAACTTAAAGAAAAGGTGACTGAACAAATGGCTAAGTAGGCTTCATTCAGCATAGATGTAGGCATGTCAGGTTGCTAAAAAGAATAGAAAAAAAAGAAGTAATATGTTACATTCTACTGACCATTATGTGTATCGACTGCTAGTTTAAGGATAGAGAGTGAAGTTATTGAGAGGGCTGACTACTTACCTTACTTGATAATTCGCATCAGACCTTATGGGCTGATTGATGAAGATACAAAGGCTTGTGTGACATTCGATAACTTATGTCATCATCTTTGGTGTAGACGAGATATCCGGCTATTGATCAAAAGGACGTGTGTACTGCGCGGCAGTCCACTTTACACTGCTCTTCTTTTTGGTTGTAAGGCGTGGCCATTAAAAGAGGAAGACTTCAAAAGGCCAACCGTTTTTGACAGTAAGTGTTTGCATTTTATCTACCGTATTAAGTGGTATGATGTGGTGAATAATACTGAGGTTGGGTGTAGTGTTAGGTAACTAGGGAAAGTCAATCTATGTTGTTGTGCAGCTACATCTATTGAGATTTCCAGGGCACATGCTACACATTTCATGTCATCGTCTTTATCGCCTACCAATGTCAGTCAACATACGACTAGACTGGAAAGGAATTAGAGTTGGTCAAATTAAAGCAAGTCATCAGTTCATGAAGTCTTCGACTGTTTGATATAAACCACTCAGGGAGATGTAGACTGTTTGATTGGGTTGCTCCAGATACTAAGAACCAAAAGCTGGAGATTTAACAGAGAACCACACAAATGCCATAAGTATAATAAATCGAAGATTCAAGAATTATTTCTGGCAACGGTGAACCTATAGCAAATCTATTGTTACATATCTTCCCGTTTTATTAAAAATAGGTAGTGAGACGTATAGTGAACTGATGTCAAACGTTAAGCCGGATACTTTGAATTCTGAACAGGAAAATTAATTTTCCGGTAAAATTAGCTGGATTTATTTGAGAGCACAATGAGAATGAGGAATATGATCTCTTCACTTCTCACTCCTGAATCATTTATCTTGTATGAAAACACGGTTGTCACATTGTGAGTTTGACGCTCAGTAAGTAATGTTCTGCATAGGCCATTTTGCCAGGTGAATAATAGTTTTTCAGATGGTAGCAGTTTTGGTACGTGAAGTTGGAGTATTTGTTGTTATTTTTGTTCTCCTCGTTTATCAGTTACAACTAGATTGCGGAACCTTCTCCAAATCTGAAACATTTATTTCCTGATAATAATTTAATAGAAGCAATAAAATTGGCAGAAGTTGGAATTCATGGGCTGGCCATTGGATCGGGTCGCAATGGCTTAATGGTATACAAGTTCGCTAGTCGTGTAACCAGGAGGTCCTGGGTTCGAACCCCGATGGATACATACTGCTGAAGAGCCCCGAACTAGTGTGACGAAATATCTGGCTGTGCAGTACTCCCAGGTTTTCCAATGGTTCTTGAATTGATGTCAGCTCATGATGAAGTCCTCCAACCAATCAAACAAAATCCCTACAAAACCATTACTTGAAAAAAGGAGCAATAAAAGTTAATAAAGCAGGATTTAATGAATTCATTAAATTTCGGTTGAACTCTTCAGCTAGATACTTTACATACAGGGATATATACACCATTAGAATTACATTTGGAGATATAAGACTGATAAGATATTGTGGAGTCTGGAATAATATGATTGTACAGTTGTTTTTTTCCAGATTTTAAAAATGGAAACATTGTACATAACTTTTGTTCAAAACGGTTCATTGTAAAATATACATAAATTTGGAGTTTAATCTAAAATATAGCAGGCTGCTCGTCACTTGATCTTCTCACTGGTACATACTGTCTACTTGCTTCACTACTAACTGTGTTGTATCCTTTGTATTTTTCAGGAACCTCTCATGCTCATTCGAAGACTACCCTAAAACTGGTGCACAGCCTGACGGACACCACTTCAGATGGGAACTCTCTGTAAGCTCTCACCTGGCTGTAAGAGTTCGAGTAGGATATCTTGATCAGTGTGATGTATTTTCTCAACATTCTCTCCCTTCACAGCCAGACATCGCCACAGTACTTCTCGGTCGGTGGGAACAAATGCCGCTTTCAGGTCAAGAAATATGACGACTGTTGGACGCCAACGGTAAGTAAACCTATGTTTCAGAATCTGCCGAAGGGTTAAGATATTATCAATACACCTTCTTCATGGTCTGAAGCCTGCCTAATTCTCTAGTGTTTGTTCCTCTCGAACATCACTTAGTCTACATATGATAATTCAGCCTAGAACTTTAGATACCATATTGGTCAAGCTAATCCCCTGTGATTATCACAGGAAGACTTGTCTCCCTTCTTGTATACTGGGATAATCAATGACTTACACCAACCCAACGGGACTACCTCTGATTCTCAGACGCTGCTTAATGCCTTAGTCAACACAGACAGCAAACTGTCTCCACCGTCCGTAAACACCTCTGGAGTCATCCCATCAGGTCCCACCGCTCTGCCCCGTTTCCGACTAGTGACAGCTTTTGTAACCAAAGTTAGGGACTGAGGACCGGTGTTTATATCCCACTCAGGGAGATGTTGGATGCTCGGTAAGTTGAGCATGGCTGTAGGCCAATTGAATTGCTCCTCAAAGTGTTCTTTCCAACGTTCCAGTCGTTTATCCTGGAAGCTAATAGTGGTGCCATTTTTCTCGGAGATAGTTTCACGCATCACTTGCCTTTTGCCACCTGTTTCCTTGATGAGTTTAAATAGTTGTCCGGTGTTTCCTATCGCTGATGCCTTCTCCATCTCTTTAGCTTCTGTCGCCTACCACTGGTCACGGTCGTTGTGAAAACTTCTTGTTAGTTTGCGCTTGAGCAGCTTCCGCTCGTCATCATATTCGGAGCTCGCAGGAACCAGTCTTCTTGCGTCAATCAGTTCGAATGAGGTACTAAAGATTCACTGACTCTTACTAACTTTTGGTTTTACAGCCTTTACAGGTGCGTCTACAGCTAACTGTATGTTGTGACCGGCTTCCTCAGGAGGGGTCTTGCTGTCGACCTCCGATCCTCGTTTCACTATCAATTCCTTAAATGAGTCAGTATCTTTATTTAGTTGGGGGTGTAACTACCTCGCTGCCAACAGTTTTTTATGTCCATTTAATCGTAAGCATAAACGTGCGCAAACCAGGGCGTGATCGGAATCTACGCATGTGTTCCAGAAGGAGTGGCAATCTTCTACTGATCATCGCCAACGATACCCTATCTCTATGGGGTCTGTTTGAGACCAACTTTGATTTGGTGCTGGAGTTCGCCAGGTTAGGCAATGCCTTTCTTGATACCTAAAGTTGGTGCACACTAGAAGCACGATCAACGTTGTCGGTTCGTCGGCAGGGAACTCCATACATACCACCTACATACTTCTCAGTCTGGCACAACTTCCCTACTTGGGTTTTGAAGTCGCCTGCTAAAACAACTAACTATATCTGAAACTTTTGCTTCCTGCAGCAAACTAGACAGTTTCTGGTAGAAATCATCATTTAGTTCATTGCAACTGAAGTCTGTTGGGGCGTAGGCAGAGACAAGACAACGATGGGTAATACAGTTCTTCCTTCATCTAACCAACCCGTTCAGACGGACCGCACACATATGACTATCTACTGGGATCCAGCCAAGAAGTGATTTTTTTTAGCCTAACACTCAACCCTACCCCTACACTTGCGAGTCCTCGCGAACTAGCTGAGCGGTCTCTTGACACTCATAAGGTGAATTTTGAAGATCCACCTTGTTGATGGAGTGAGGTTGAGTGAATAACCACACTCGGGTCTTGTACACGTGTCTCCGAAACACACCACACATCCATGGCTTGAGATGCCAAAGTTCTGGCTAGTGATGCGTGTTGTCCAATTTTGCAGAAGGTCCCGTCGGAACGGAACACAGTAGGGTAAGTCGGGATGTAAAATCTCTAGAGTCAACCTTTTCCAACCCCCTGTTTCCACAGTGGAGAGACAGCATGGCTTACTGGCATGCTGGTCATCTAAGGAGAACACTTTACTGCTGTTACATCCCTATTCCCCAGCAGACCGACTTTGCCCAAAGACCCCCAGCATACTGTAAAAAAAATCTTACACAATGCTGGCAACTGCTTTTAGTCTAATCGCAATCCTAACAATCTTCCTGGCATGGTAGGACCTGCAAGAACAAAAGTTCCATCTAGTGAAGCTTGTTGGGTCATTGTGATATGCAAGCCCGACCACCACGTCAAGGTAGCAGCTTTTCGGTCGGGAAATAATATTTATAATGGTATTATAGTAATAGTGAATGAATATATATATATATATATATATATAATATTTATAAACTTTCATGAGTACAGTAATATTATCTAGCAATCTGTAATCTGCTTCAGTATCGTAATAGGAAAATATTTTTAAGTGTTGGTTTGAAGGGATTTGATTAATTTTAAGTTTTATAATGAGGTGACTTCACTGAAAACCAGAGGGTACTGCACAGCTGTTTTGTCCTAGGTTGGAACTCGCCAGTAGTACGCACCCACAATCCCACTATAGATCGAACCCAGAACCTTCAGATTACAACACTAGCTTGTCCCAGTGACTAAAATGTCAACGAGCTCGCCTAGTAGTCTGAAAATCCTGGGTGAAGCTGTAGGTCTCAAGCAAGGAAGAAGAACCGTTCAGTATTCAGTGGTTTTTGAAAGCTTTTTAACTGAAGCCATTTCGTGGTCAAACTTGAAATAAATCAAATCCCAGCAAAATCGACACTTGAAAATTAGTCTAATGCACACTAGTGACTGACTACAGGATACGGTTGCCTGAAGTTCTAGCGGGAGTGGTGAACAGTGCAGTGTGAGGAGAAATACTCGCCGATGATAGTGGCTGGAGACTGAGCTGCAAAGCAGGAAAATATTTACCAAGAATCCTGGTTATATCTATTGTTGTTAAATTAGAATGATTAAAATAGGTTAGAAACACTGTAATATCTACTTACCAGCAATGTCAAAGAATACAGTAAGTGTAGAATAGCCATTACTACAGCACCTATTTGTAATGCTTTTTTCCACGAGATTATTCTGATCAGGAATGCTGATACAATACTTGAGAACAATAAATATAAACCAGTAGAAAATGCACATCGATAAGAGACTGATCCACCCAATAGGCAAACAGATTCTGCAAAATAAATGATAGCACTCATTCCTGTTAACTGTTGAAATGTCATTAGTAGAAAACCCATATATAATCTTGATTTTTGATTACTTAAGACATACGAGGTTGGAGAAAGCCATGATTTTGTAGAGCCATCCAACAAACTCTGAGAATCATTGCCATTACTTAATTGATCACTTTCTTCTTGCTTGAAAGGTAATTCCTGAATTAAAAAAGAATTATACACGTGTACTGTTTTCGAAAGGTTGACATAAATACGATATATTCAACTGAAGTCATTAATATATATATGTACATAATTACAAAGACTATCTCAAATCACCTGACTGTGGATTTGTACAAAGTTGTCCCACGAAGGGATGACAATCAGTTGTGTGCAATATTGAGGCTCAATATCACTATTCTTATTTAATTTTGTTGTGTTTATTGTGACTCTATGTCTTAAGCACTCGATTTCTAGCCAGTGGGTTCAAAACTCACTCTGCCTAATTCAACCTGGACAACTGGGTAACATGATTAGTCATGACACAATAAGTGTGGGTTATATCCCGGTAACGGGTAACTGAATTTCAACTAACTAGCACACTAAGTGAAAAAGAGTGAAGATGTGATCAATACACCCTCATCTGGGCCTAAAGCCTGGCTAATTTTCAAAGATTTATAGAAGACAAATTCAGCGAAGAAAATTTTCTTTATCGACGAAATCATCTTCAGAGGCTGTACAGTCGTATTTATAGTTACAAAAATATATAGTGGTCTATTATTGAGTAATAGGGGTGACACAGTTGATATAATTACTCAGAAGTGGCTTTAGAAGTGGAAATTAAAAGTTGTAAATTACGTGGTACTCAACGACACAAAGATAGAAATTTGATAAGGTTAAAATTGCTATTGAGTGAGAATAAAGGTATTTCAGTGTCAATTTAACAAGTGTGAAGAGGGTGTGAAATGTACAGAAGGAGCATATGAGAGTGATAACAGTGAATTAATTATTAAAGCAAAAGCAAACTAAAAGTTAAATTAAAAGTTAAAAAAGAAAAAAATCAAAACTCTTTACAGGGAACGACTAGTGAAGAGATTAAGACCAAGTTAGAATAAGAGACTGGAAAAACTTTTTCTGTATAGAGTTTAGGGTTGTATTGACGAATTGCCAGCGCCTCCGCCATACACAAAAGCCGAAACTTTTTTAACTTTTAATTTAACTTTTAGTTTGCTTTTGCTTTAATAATTAATTCACTATTATCACTCTCATATGCTCCTTCTGTACATTTCACACCCTCTTCACACTTGTTAAATTGACACTGAAATACCTTTATTCTCACTCAATAGCAATTTTAACCTTATCGAATTTCTATCTTTGTGCCGTTGAGTACCATGTAATTTACAACTTTTATTTTCACCTATCAAGCTACTTCTGAGTAATTATATCAACTGTGTCACCCCTATTACTCAATAATGAACCACTATATTTTTGCAATTATAAGTACGACTGTATAGCCTCTGAAGATGATTTCGTTGATAAAGGGAATTTTCTTCGCTGAATTTGTCTTTTATTTTCTTCATGACTCAATGGGTATTTTCGGTGATTTCAAAGATTTGTTTAACCTGAGTGCCGTCTAATCTGCGCGTGATTATTGAACCTAGAATTTAGATACTAAATGAGTAAAGCTGGTCCTCCTAAAATTATCACAGGAGGACTTGTATCCCATTTTATAAAGTGAGATAACACATGACTTACACTAGTCTCACTTGACTATCTCGAAAAAACAGCTGCTAGCATACAAACTGTATTCGCCAATTTCCTAAATTCATCTCAACTCCTTCAATCAGTAATATTACTTTAGCTTATAGCAGCTAGTTGATTTATGATCCATTGCTTCTTTTAAAATAAGAACACTTCTATACGAATAGTTAAAAAGAAAATCAAAGCAAAATACCAGGTAATCACTTACATTTCCGTACAACCAAGAATGAGATGCTTCAGCTGATTCTAGGTTACCCGTTTTAATACACCATTTAGGAGATTCTGGAAGCATGCACGTTAAAATGGAAGTACACAACACAAGTAAGCCACAAATCAAAGAAATAATATCCCAATTAAGATAAATTGCAAGTGCGTATACAACAACAACTCCGCATGTTATACCAATCTGAAATAATGATCCAACTAAAGCTTTCAATGAAGTTGGAGCTATTTCGTAAATATAGATCAAATTAGTTGCTGAGGTTAATCCGCATCCCAAACCTGTTAAAAAACGTCCTAAAAAGAAGGGGACAGTTGGTGCATATCGTTCATAGACAGCTGATGACGAAAAAAACAACAGAATCCATCCTATAAATGATAGCATATGAGACCAAATCAGTGTCCGACGATGTCCGTAGCGAGGAATTAGCTGCAAAGAGCAAATACAACCAATCACCCCACCAATGTTTAAACAACTGCCAAAAATTGCCGACCAAATTGTACTAAAATAAATCTGAAGAGTTGTTGCAGACGAAAATCCAAAAGTTAGACCTAAATAATCAAAATTATAGTATTGTTTAGTGACAGTTTAATATGTGAGATAATTTAAAAGATGAAATTTAATTTAGACTAACTTTATCATTGATGATATATGAGCGTAGAATTAGCATCTCAGTGGATAGGGAAATTCAGTAATACACCACTAGATAGGTACGTCAGTAATTAGTGAATACTCTAATACAGCTTTCATAAAGATTAAGATAACTAGAAGTGGAGGCATAATTAATATTAAGGCTGCGAGTCCTCAATATTTGGAACTACAGTAAATGACTTCAGTACTAAAATATGTTTGCATTGGGTGACCAACTATAATATCGTAAATCTACTTTGGAGAAATTTTCGACGAAATTCATCTTTCATCATAAGGTGAAGTTGGTGAGCTTGTTATCATCTGGAAAGGAAAGTTTAACTATCTAATTTTTTCATGTAGTACTGACACTGGCTTTACAGATATCGAACAAACCCACTGGCGAAACCATCTTATGCTTTCAGCTTACTTCTAAAGTGTGAAAATAATGAAATATAATTTGTTTATCACAAAATAAAATTCACTTTGACAAACCTACATGACATACAACACGCTAGTGACAAAAATATACCACGAAAAATAATCTAGTAATATAAACCTTCTTAAGAGTTATTTCGTAATTTTTGTAACATAAGAAGGATCAAGAAGAATTAGTGGTTGGATGAACACCGTGGGTAAAAGTATTCTCGTACAGAGAAGAATTTCTGAATACGTACACAGATTGTGTGGAGTCTATGACAAGAAAATTTATAAGGAACTTTGTTCTTATTCATCTAATAGCTAGAAGAGAATCCTTTTGATGAGATCTGTCGAAAACAGGAACTTACTGAATTCAGTAGCTAGAAAACTGTTCGTGATGAAAGGAAGATTAAAAAGACTTGTATATAAAACGAATTAAATGAACACCTGAGCATTTCTCTCTCGTAATCACGTTTAGTTATGGGAAGGGACCAGAGAGCACAACAAATCTCTGGCTTCTGACAATGCAGGCTTAATACTACTTTCACTTTAGGATAATTATCACAAATTAACATATGTTAGGCTTTTGAACTACGTAACTGATTTGTGATAGTTTCACAGTTCCAATGGGGCACGTTTACAATTAGTCAAATAAAACTAAATGACTTCGGAAAAGGTTTGTTATTCCTTATTTGTGTTTCATAGAAGTAATGTAAAACTAATTGAAAGTAATCAAAAACAAATGAACTAGCTTTTTCTTACCACAAGTAAATGCACTTAAAGTGCATAAAAACAATACAAAGTGGAATCGACTAAGAGCCATTGAAACACAGTGTTCATAAACAGAACTCTAAAGCAAACGGAAGAGCTGCGTTCACAATTTGCTTATTCAACAGGTAAAACTGAAACAGAAAAGAATAAGGTTAAGTCATGTATACAGAAATATACTTTGAATTACAGCAGAAACGAAAACCACACCTTTTCATACAGCAGCCTCAATGAAATAAGCTGCAATTCAGGCACTGAGACTCCTTATTAGTCAGTCTCCGTATATATTGGTTCTACATAGCTTTATCACATTCTCCTTTTGTGTGCTTTTAGAATAGCAACTTAAAGTGATGCAATATTTGTGCAAAGCTCTACATTGATAAGTCTGTCAGTGATGGTGCTGCTTTTAAATTATTTAGAAAAATGCACAGTATATCAGACACACGTGCGTAAACCACAAGAATGGTCAGTTCATCATACATGCATAGTGCTGAGGTAGTTTAAAAATAACATGTCGGCACCTTTGCTTCTTTTGTTTAATATTCCGCCTAGTTGTATTTCAGAGTGCTCAAGTAATATTTATATCAAAACAAGTTCAATAATGTGAGGCACTTTTGCCACACCCAAACAAGTATGAAGACATTGATACAATTCTGAGGTTGGTATCCCACATAATGTGATGATGCTTTAGATACTTACTCCTGAATAAGACGTACTCACTGAAGACGAATGGGTTGAATCCTTGTGAATTGGGATTTTCAACTGAACAGAGGCATACATTTAGTACGTGCATACGTGGTAATGAAAGATTAGGTGAGTATTGTAAGAAAATAACAAAAGTCTGAATCGATTAACTTTCCGCTATAGCTTCGGCAGAATGGTAGTACGCCTCTATTGAATTTAGAAACCTCATTTATTCCCTGTATAACTGATTTTTACTACTTATTACCACATATAGTAATGGAGTCCGCTGGCCAAATAGGCTGTCTGCGCACTAACAGTTTCAAAAATATGGAAAACTAAGACATTCAGAGACCGTAACACATACTTAGCAAACTTATTTAAAGCGAGGAAATCAATATATATAAGCAGCAAATGCAAACAGTTGAGCAAATATAATAAAGAAAGAAGAAAGAAATGTATAACACTTGGGCAATGTGATGGAGTATAACTCCATTATGGATAAAATTTCATTTTGATAAAATCACATTGTTGTAGACTAAATATTACAGCACAAAACGGTGTGCTTTTATCAAAATAAACTTTTATCCACAATGGGTTGATCAAATAGTATTAACATCAGTCATCATCTACTAATTCTATGTAAAAAAGGGACATGAGTCTGCTTTGATCATTTCAGCAGTTACCTCGGTTAAGCCCTTGCACGCCTTTGAATAACTTCAAGGTAAAAGTAACAGCCAGTCCACGACGATTCAACCGCGGTTACTAACAACAGTAGACAATATTCAATTAGTTGGTGAAGGGTAAACGTACCATTCCCAATGACACTTTTTCAGAATTAGTCATCATACCGATTTTTCTCAATCGCTTATTCACTACAAAGTAGAGGTTTGTGATCTTATATTTCTGTATAAACAGTCATACCACTCACCTGCTCTAGCTTTGACGGACTCTGGTGTCGGCGTGAAGTCGTCAAGATCCGATACCCTATATCTTTTCCATGAACTGGAGTAAACTCTGCTCTCGCTTCCTGAGTGTAAAGCAGTGATTCTTAATTCTGTGTAATATGTCCCACAACTCAGCTGCCGTATCTTTGGGTGACTCCAAGGGGAGTGGTGGAGTAATGCTAATATGTGGTGTGCAGTACGTGTTGTGGGAAGACTGCGTACCTGCTGTTGATGGATCCCGATAATGAATTTTTGGAAAAAATGTTGCGCTTCTCAAGTACATATTGATTTTTCTGCGGAAGTTTCATTGACCTGGCTATTATTCCTTTGAGTTCAGACTGGTTAACATATTTCAATTTAACCTTTTTCTTAGCAATGTTTTTCACCCAGCTCCCTGACTGTTGAAAGCGTTTGCTTTCTCCTAACACAATCTATTCTATATTACCTTTGAATTTCAAAGGAGCCTTTACTATTTAGGGCCCACTAGAGGGCGTAGTGTGTGATGTCACCCACAGAATTCCCAGTGAATGTAAAATGCACATCAATTTCCTTCTGCATAGCTTTTGAGCGATAAATTTTCGGTTGTTTCATTGCTAGAGATCCTGGACACTTATCTTACCCTGCCAGCCATCTGATCTTTAGAAGCTGATGAAATTCTGCAGCCTGTTAAAAGCAGCTTTTGCGACCCGTATGCCAAGTCTTTCAAACCTATAGAAGCGCTGAATCCACATTACTGTTGAAAAAAATCGAATCCTATCCCTGATGCTCGGTGCGGTAGATTTTCTCAGTGATTTAGGAATAATGGACGCCTGTTTCGCTTTCTGACCATAACCAGTTCTGACGTCCTGATGCGTAATTGCCTGTCTGTAGTTGATAGAAGCATAAAAAGTTATTGTATGTGATTTGCGTCTTTTGGTGGTGGTGACTGATGCTTGTTGTTGGTTGGTTACCTTCATTACCCTTATCTTCTCTATTTTCAATTTAAGGCCCGTCTTTACTGCTTCCCCCTAACCCTTTGGTCTTTGTCTGTTTCACTTCCTGTTTTTGTGACATTAGATATGAATGGACCGCGAATATCAGGTTTACTACAGTTTTATGGGTCTAGCGTGATCTTGACCTCTCCCTCACCAAGGTCTGCAGCATGATTCAGTCCATCACAGTTTAGAATATCATCGGTGACAGGGAGCAGTTTTGTTGTACTCCCATCTTCATTCAAAGGATTCGTAGAGGTTTACGCTATGTATCGTTTAAAAAGTGGTACTGTATTATGTATACATATAATATATAGTATTGTAATACATGTGATCAGATTTATAAAGGTTCGAAGCACTCCACTGTGTTGGGGCAAATTCCAAATTTCTTCAAACTTGGCGCTTTCGAAAGCCTGTCCATTGTTGGTAAAGGTAAGCTAGAGATTTGACTGCTTCTCTATGCTCTGCTCGATGGTGATGCGTACAGTAGCGATTTGACCAGTATATGATTTTCTACTCATGAATCCAGCTTGTTCTGGGCGATAGTTTGCATCTAGAGCACCTCTGTTTCTCTCCCGGATTGTGTGACATAGTATTATACTTGGTGCAGGCAAGAGAATGATTCCATTTCTGAGTAGGCCTGAGGCACCCTCCATAGTTAGTTAGTTCTTCCAACCAAGAAGTACGTTATTTCCTCCCAAACTGTGTAATAATAGCAAATGACTGTTCACTGAATCCGTTTCCAGTGGTTTCACAGGGATTCCGTCTGGTCCCGCTAACTTCCTGGCTTTTGGTAACTTCATGGCACTCAAGACATTACTCATGCTGGAGCACTTGTTTCCACTGACAGTTCTGTGGCTGCTAGTATTTCCCTGGGAGGCTTTAGGTGGCGATTGGTTCAGGAGATTTTTTAGATGACCGGTTCGTTATTCTCTCTGTTTTTCCTCTCTGGTAAATGTGTCCTCTTCGCTATCCTTCGTAGACTTTATATGTGCTCATCCTTTCCTGGACGGAGCCCTGGTTGTCTTATATAATGTCTTGAGGTCTCTTTTGCCTGTAGCCCGCTTTGCTTCCGCTACCAGTGTGTCGGAGAATCGTATCTCACGTTTCGTAGCACTTTTTCGATTCCTTACTAAGCGCGTTGTACAATGAACGTGGTCTATCTTTTCATTGTCTATCTTTGTACTGGTTCATCTTCCCTCTCTCAGACATTAGCTTCCAGGTGTCCGTAGAAAACCATTCTTTTGTAACGGTAAAGACGAAAGACTTAGTTAATGAATATTTATTTGGAAATTGGTATCTCTGTATAGCAAAATTATGAACACCTGATCTTCAACGAACAATCTGCACAGAGGATCGTGTTGTGGTACTTCTAGCCTTCATATTTGTTTTTTTGCGTTCCTCTCAGGTCTCCCATCTATCCCCACAACGGTGTACCATTCGCCTTCTCTGACATCAAAAATGTATCTCTTTGATGTGTGATGTTTTTATGCCGATGGACATCTCTTTATATAATACTGATGAATCTTATCAGTGGCACTCGCCACACCTTGTCTTGCTTCTTCTTTCTTCTCGAAACCGTTATTAAAGTTTCCTTGTACGTGCCACCACGGATCATTACATCATTAAACGGACTGAAGTCTGAGAAAGTTTTTTGTAGCTCTTTTTCATCTCGTCTACTGCCACTCGGCCCATGGCAACTGTTCTTTCCGAATTGCTGCTCCTGGGTTATGAAACAAATCACCCATAAGAATTACGATTTCTCCCTTTAGGGTCTCGTTCATTTCTGCATGCAGTTATTTGTACAAGTTTTATTCCTTATCTTGATGTGCGTTGCTCGAAAGTTTGCGGAGTAGAATAACTGTAGCCTTTTTGAGTTCATTCTTGCTGCCATTATGCTGGTGGAGATTGCTTCTCACTGCGAAAGAGCCTGCAGTGCTGGTTTTGACATCATGATAGCACCCCCCTCATTGTGCTAAAGGTTTTGGCCTGGGTAACCAGAGTAGGCTGGTGAATCTCCAGGAAACAAATTGGGCAGTCCACCTCCATTCCATCCATATCAGAGATTCCAAGTATAGCGCCCTCGATTTAAATCTAAAGTGCACTTGTAAAACCTGTTCGTGTACCCGCATTGTGCCTTTACCGAATCTAATCTTACATTCGTTTTCAGCTCTTCGGAATTTGATTTTGCTATCAGTACATCTGTTGAAGTTTCATTTGTGCTTCTGATTACAAGGTTGGTCGTATTTGAACATGTGCATCGTATGACGTGAAAACGTGGATATACTAATGAAATGTTAGTACCCCACACTGGCATTTCTATATCATTTTCATTTCTTTAACAGTCTTCTGAGACGTCTCAGCTTCAGAAAAGGTACGGACATACCAAATCCCTATGCATATTTTTGCTCTCATTGAAAAAGTCACATCCGCCGGCTTGCTTTAAGAAGGCTTTCTACAGCTCATATTATTTCGTCTCACAAATGTCAGCGAAGAATAAGTCTGTTATGGTTTTTGTGGTTTGCAGATTAACCAGAGTTTGTTTTGATTTCCTAGTGTGTGTTCGCTGGCCCCACACCCGAACCTCACACTTTTTCCAAACTTAGAACTGGTCAGTTAAGTAGACCTTATTTTCGAAGGCCCAGAACAACAAAATAGCTAGGCAGAGTATTTCGAGTTGGTTTCAACTGAAACAATAACGAATAGGAAGTATCTGGGCAGGAGAAGACGAGAAATCACCAAAAATGTGTTACTTTAGTTAGTGGTAAGCTATCAAATTTTCGAAAACAGCAGGGATACTGCAAAACAGAGTGCTTACAGCAATTCTCTGAATCAGTTGTATTGCTTTAACGCGTTATAAAATTTATACAAGTTTAGCTCTAGAGTATAGAATCCCATTCTCTACATGTTAAGAAGACTGAAAGCGTTGACAAATAATTAAGATACCATATCACAGTACACGTATATAATCCTGCTTTTCCAAAATATGCTTGGTGTGATCAGAGAACACCCACATTGACGAAACAAAGCAGTTTGACGGTACAGAATTTATTTTGTATTCAGTAATGTCAGGTGTTAGAAACTGGGAATCGTTTGCGAACAACCAAAGGAGACGCGGCAGCACGTTAATCACTGCAATTGCTTGAATTTTTAGGGGCTGAAGGTGTCGACGTTCACAAAACTCTACGATGTACGCTAACGCAAGATCTTATGTCCACAAATCCTATAGGATTCTTTCTGCGTAGACCAAAGATAAATCAAAACACCAACTTGATCGTCCGAAATATGGACTATGTTCCAGAACCAACATCGTAGTGCTAGGATGACTGCTTAAATAGCTGGGAGTCGTGCACAAACAACCGAACTTAATACGACAGCGTGGCTGTATCCGTTTGGAGTCCGCTAATAACGTTCGCATGAATCTCCTATGTTGGGGCACACAAAGTTTGCTTGTGCGGTTCACCAACTGTGAATAAAACTTAAAGAAGATAAACTGTGATTGACAGCAACCGAGTATTAG